GCTCGCCTGGCATGCGTGCGGCCCGGGTTCGATCCTCAGCACCACATACAAACAGAGATGTTGTGTCTGCCAAGAACTAAAAAATAAATATTAAAATTCTCTCTCCCTCTTTGAGGGGGGAAAAAAATCAGTGTGACTCCTAATCATTGACAAATCTGGAGAATCTAGTGTATTCATGAGGGTTTGGGGGCACAGCCTGTTGCCCAGGCTGGTCTCAGACTCCTGGGTGCAGCGGTGCTCCCACCTCAGCCTCCCAAGTTGGGGGATCTCAGGGGTCCGCCACCTGGCTCAGTGTTCAGTCTCACTACTTACACGTTCAGTCAATGTGTAAATGGAGCCAGTCCATATGTGCTCGTCTTGTTATAAGATCAAAAGCCGTGGGCCCAGGGGCACACTTTGTAAGCAGTGTTCCCCACGTGAAAGTGAGCAGGTTTCTTTGTGCACCCCGATTCTCTAGTCGTGATCCCTGAGACTGAGCCAGAAGTTATTTTTCTCCTTAATATTTTGAACTACTAAAGAAAGAGTCACATTGAATTAAACAGGAAATAACTACACATTTTGGCCATGCTAAAAATCTAAAATTAGCTAACTAAGTGGATTACAACCAACTCATTGGGACGGGGCGTCTTGGGCTGCAGTGGGGTGTCTATTCAGCAGCCACTCCTGTGGCCCTTCAGGCAGTCAGTTTTAATGCCACCTGTGTTAAGAATCACCAAGAAGCGCGTCCCACCGCCAGTGCACACTTAGGTCTGTCTGGACGTGTCTGGGGGATTCCTGGGGGTTGTCAAAGAGAGTGTAAAGTTTAAATTCCGTCTTCCTGATGGACCACAGAAGGGGTCGAAATCTCACTCGGGGATGTCTGTGACTTACACTCACAGGCAACTGCAGGCCTTCTGGGCTTTTTAGAATGTTATCTCTAAATTCCAAGATTTTTTTAAAAAAACTGCAGAACCAACTCACCAACCCCGAGTATCTGGCTGTCCTGGTGTCTTCAAAGAGGCGGCCCTTCTTATTTTTAGAATGGGAAATTTTGCTTAAAGAAATAACCTATGCTGTGGTTTAGAATGGAAATACTGTATCTCTTTGAGATAATAGTTGCTATTTTTAGACCAATTTACAAAGAGGTGAGCCACAGAGAGTCTTGTAATCTCCATTTAGCCTCAGACTCTGGGAGATGCATTCTGTAAAATCAAGTGACCCCACGGTTACTCCAGATGCATTTTTTAAAAATTTTTTTAAATATTTATGTTTTGATTGTAGATGGACACATACCTTTATTTATTTTTATGTAGTGCTGAGAATCAAATCCAGGGCCTCAGACCTGCTAGGCGAGCACTCTGACCCTGAGCCACAACCCCAGCCCAATCCAGATGCATTTTTGAAAGTACTTTGGAAGATAATTTTAAAAAAAATTTTTTTTAGTTGTAGGTGGACACAATATCTTTATTTTACTTTTTTGTGGTACCGAGGATCGAACCCTGTGCCTTCCACATGGGAGGCAAACTCTCTGCCCCTGGGCTACAGCCCCAGCCCTCAAAGATAATTTTTAAAATATGTTTGTGATAATGACTGAGTGACTCAACACGAGTTTTGGAGACTTTGAAATTCCACTGTAGAATAAACAGAAAAGCTTACTAAACAAAAATAGACTTTCTTTAGCTTGGGGAGAACACTGA